TATAAAGTTATTAATTATTAAAATAAAATGTAAAAAACTCAGTTTATAGTGATTTAAAAATATGAAATATATTGGATCAAACTTAAAAATTTACAAAAATTGATCAATATTTATTTTAAAACCCAATAAATATGATCATGGAAAAAAAATGTGCATATCGGTAAGTTTTTTTCAAATTGTGCGAAAAATAAAAAAAATTCACGGTTCCGGTTACCACAATTGTTATGCTACGGCCTTTACATTTCGCAACTGCAACCGTGCCAACTGTTACGCACTAGCTATCTCCACTTTCATCTTTTCTCTCACTAAGGCCATCTAAGCTCTCACTTACACTACCTCCATTGCTCTCCTGTCATCTCAGTGCCCACCATTTGCCTATAATATCTCATCAAGATACCTCACCATCAACCATCAAAAGGTTTTAAATACCAGTAATGAGTGCTGAACTTGAAAGCTTGAGGGAAGCCATTTTGATGGTCATAACAAAGGCCTTAAAACATCTCCATAGAAGGAATCAATCAAATTGGTAAAGGGCTATTGAGCTTGTAGCCAATCATCTGAGAATACAGAAACTAGATGTGGAATAACTTATTTATGAAGGGAACATGTCTATAGGGAAGTGAACAAAGCAGCAGATTGGCTTGTGCTGGGCCAATTATTAAGAAAGATATCAAGTGGGCTGGACCAGATTATAACTGAAAAGTTCCCTTAAAAGTTTTTTTTTTTTTTTTGGAACTACAGCTGGCCCCTAGAGTTGGGAGGCAATTTTTTGCCCCAAAATTTGTATACTTAAAAAGGGATTTTGTGACATTTATGAATATTCTTCGTCATATATTGTAGGTGTGCTGCATTTTTTCGTTTCAGTATGAAGCATCACACTGTGCTCTACACTTTGATGCCTCCTAAAACAGTTTTCTCTGTTAAACAACCCTTGTTATGGATCTTATTTTTGTTAAAATTTACTTTACTAGTAGTTTGAATAAATTCTATGCATCCAGGTCTTTGTATTTCTATTGGTGGTAAAACTGACTTCTTATGTTGACTAGGTTGCTGTTTTAAAGGAGCATTTCTCGGCTTACGGTGAACTTTCTTCCGTAGAGCTAGAAGATGTAGAGTCTATTGATGCAGTGGCATCCAAAAATTGCTCAGCTCTTATATCTTTTACAACACGTCGTTCAGCTGAGAGGGCGTTTGCCAGTGGCGAATGCTGGCAAGGCCACAATTTGCAGTTTATGTGGCTGGCATCTGGTAATTCTAGCATTGACAACGATGCTAGAGACGACCCTCCAACTGCTTCTATTGTGCCTCAAGATGCTAACCCTCAGCCTGCTGGACAAGTCACACCCATTGATTCCCCAAAAGTGGCTACCTCGGGAAATGGAGAATCCAAAAATTTGGAAAGAAAAGATAGTAGTGGGGAATGTACAGAGCGGGATGAAGATCTGAAGTCCAGTTCATCTGCAATGTCGTCTGACAAATGATCACCTAAAGGGAATGTTTGTTGAGGATGACCTTATTGTCAGATTGTACAGTGAGGTAAATGTTTCATATATACTAAATTCTGGTTTCCAATTTTCTTATCTCATGGTTGGGGTATGTAAAGAGGGAATTTTGTGATTTTTAACTGCCAACACTGGATAATTGTTGGTTGGTTGTGAATTCTGTTGTCTTTGAATTTTGGAATGCTTAGGTACATCTACGGCTGAGGATTAAAGTTGGAAAATGCTATAAAAAACATTGAAATGTTAAGCGAGACTGTATCATCTCCTCTCTTGCCTTTCCTTTTGCGAATGACTTGACTTTTGTTGCATATTTTTCAGTTTGCATGCTTCTGAATATTTCAACCAGTTAAGCCGAGCATTTGGAATGGGAGATGTTAGAACTCCCTTTAGTCCTATGTTTCCTTAGTTCTTCATTTTTGTGTGTAGTCTGCGACAGAAAATATGAATTTTAATCTCTGTTTGTTTAAGCATTCTCATGTCTGAAGGGATGAAAATGCACACGTCCTCAAAATGGAAATCTTCGTTTCATTATTTGTTTAGTTAACACTACCTACCTGCTATCCCTTTTGCTAGAATCTTCCAACTTAAATCCTTTTTGAGATATTGGTTTCATTATTTGTTTAGGTAACACTACTACCTACCCACTATTCCTTTTGCTAGAGTCTTCTGACTTAAATCCTGTATAATACATCTGCTGTTAAGCGCAATACTTGAGCTCTCTTCTTGTGTTTATGAGATTTTCATGTGATTTTGAATTATATTATGTAGTTTATAATTTCCAGTGTTTGCACTGCTAACTTTGGTGTTTACATTTTTGTATTAATTTGAATATTGGATAGAAGTTTGATCTATATGACGTAGTAAAGGTCACATTTAGAATGACTGCAAATTTTCAGGTGTTAATGGCATTTTCAGAAATCAAGGCATCATCTTTAGTATTTTTCTAGCTTCTACTCTTTTTATCTTTCTGGATTTATGCTTAGAACAAGCTGAATATCATAGTTCAAAATATGTTGAGGACATACGACAATTTTGATCAATGCAAAAGGTTTGGTTTTTTATAATTTGAAGGAGCTTACACAAGATTGTGCTGACATTTAAAAATGGTTTCATCAATTTTTATTGTAAAATGTGTAATATTGATTACTTATTTTTTAGTACTTGCGTTATGCTTGGTCAATGAATTTGGGTAGAGATTTGGAAAGGAAAATAAAAAAAGTAAGGGAAATGTAAATAAAATATAACAAAATTTTATTTACGTTTCACACACTTTTTTCATTTTTTCCCCCAAAATTCCTCTCTAAACCTATGAACCAAATGCAGTCTTTAAGTATTAGAATCTAAAAAATATTTAACTAAAATATTTCAATTGATTTTGTTGTAAAATTTTTGAGAACCAAAATGAATTATACTTCAATAAAAACTAACTAAAGATCAAAATTTATGTTCTTCTAAATTGGAGAAAATTTCATTTTTACCTTTATATTTTACCTCGACGATCAATTATACTTCAGGCTTCAAATAATTTCAATCTTACTTTCAAAGTTTTTAAAATCGTATCAATTTGTCACTTACCATTACATTTAAATGGAAAAAGTTTAAAAAAAATACATTTTGACTTCAGATTTTAAGAGAGAGATGTAAACTCATCCCTCCTATCCAAATTCACCGCCTTTCCTCACTCCTTCCACTTCTTTCTCTGCCATCCTCCTCCTCCCTCCTCTGCCGTTATCTTTCACAAACTTCTCTGCAACTCCTCCCTAAAGCCAACTCTTCTTCTTCTCCTACGTTCTTCATCATCTCGTGATCCTCCAATTTTTTGACAGACACACACACAAAGAAGAAGAACAAGAAGAAGAAGAGTTGGCCTTCAATTCCAATTAGAAAGTTTCTCAATCCGATTCGGCAATGATAATGCTGGGTTTCAAGAATGAAAAGCTCTGCACATTCTCTCATTCTCGTTCTCTTCCCGCTCTTCTTGTTTATTTTTATCGATTTCACTGCTGTTTCTCAGGTCACACAGAAGTAGATCTTGCTCCAATTCAAATCCAACATTTCGATTGATCCATACAACATTTTGAGCTCCTGGGATAGGAGCAAATATCAGTGTAGAGATTTCAATGGTGTGCCACAAATGTAGTGAAGATTGTGCTGTGGAACACTAGCCCCGTCGGAGTATTATTGCCGGCGTTATCAGGGCTCAAATCTCTCCGGATTCTGACTCTGTTTGGGAACCGATTCACCGGCAACATTCCATCGGAGTACAGACAGATTGAAAACACTTTGGAAGATCAATTTGAGCTCCAATGCTCTATCCGGTTCAATCCCAGATTTTCTTGGCGATTTATCGAACATTTGGCTTCTAGATTTGTTGAAAAATAGGTATGGTGGAGAGATTCCATCTTCGTTGTTCAAGAATTCTAGTAAAACTAAGTTTGTTTTGCTTTGTCACAACAATCTATTGGGTTCGATTCCATTGTCACTAACCAATTGCTTCAATCTTCTTGGGATCGATTTGTCTTTCAACAATCTCAGTGTTGGATTTCCTTCACAACTCTGAAATTCCAAGCTTAGCATACTTGTCATTGAGGAGCAATGCCTAAGAGCGAGTGTTCAAGGCCCGATTTTATCGTGCCTGAGCTTAGAGCTCTTGGATCTTGGCACTAATTTGTTCAATGGGTCGGCTCCATTTAGTGTTCTTGGATTCACAAATCTCACCTATTTCAACTTTTCAAGTAACGGTTTGAAGGAGAGATTGTAGACACTGAGATTTGCAGCAAGAGATTGGAAGTTTTCGATGTTTCGATGAATAGATTGAATGGGGAGATCCCATTGAGCATATCAAATTGCAATGCACTCAAGTTCTTGGACTTGGGGTTTAACAGTTTGAATGGGAGTATCCCAATTGAGGTTGTGGGTTTGAAGAGGCTCTTGGTTTATTGATTAGAGAATAATTTGATTGATGGAATTGTTCCAGTAGGGTTTGGGAGGATTGAATTGCAATGTACTCAAGTTCTCCAGAAGTGGAAGGGGTGAGGAAAGAGGGTGAGTTTGAGTAGGAGATGGTGAGTTTTTCATCTTTCTTTTGAAACTTGGAGTCAAAATGTAAGTTTTTAAACTTCTCCATTTAAATATAACGGTAGGGAGCAAATTGATATGATTTCAAAAAATTTGGGGGTAAAATTGAAATTATTCAAAGTCTAAGGGTGTAATTGATCATCGAGGCAAAGTATAAGGGTAAAAATGAATTTTTTTCTCTGAATTGGTTCGGTTCTATTGATTATTCTTTAGAGCTTCTACGTTTTCTAAGCCAATATATATTATTAGAAGTACTCGTATTAACAAATCTAAAATTGTGTTAAAACTAAATTAATAGCTCTAAAATATCAGCATTTATTGCTTACATTTTGGTGGTGTTTGCTGGTTTAAGTAGGGGTTAGTAATGTTATGGTTTGTCAAAAATTACCAACACCACTTTGATTTATTTATATATAATAATAATAATAGTAATTAAACCTATCATTTTCAAAGAATCAAAAGAGCTTCATTGTGATCATTACCATCTGCCATAGAAATTACAATGTAGCAGTAACTCTGTTATAAGATGTGCACAGCCAGTCTCAAAAGAAATGGAAGGCATGGATTAATAATAATAAACTACTCCACAGAGGCCTCAGCACGCCCTTCCGTTGGCCGCTGTTGATTGGTGCCGTCCTCCTCTCAGAGCATCTTGTTGACAGCGGAAATCCACAGAGGCCAGGATTACCCCCATAGCTTTCATTGGAAAAGGTGTCAAATTGATTCCCTCTTGGTATGATGCCTGACAGGTCATTGTAGCTAACATCCCATACTTCGAGAACGTAAGGGAAGTTAATTCTTGAGGGATTACACCAGACAACTTGTTACTGGAAAGATCCAAAGCCTCTATATTCACCATGTCTTTTAAAATTGGAGGAATTTGACCAGTAAGAAGGTTATTTGACAGGTTCAGTACATGGATGCCTCTCAAATTGCCAATTTGGGTTGGAATAGCACCGGTCAATTGGTTAGAAGATAAATCTATTGCGGTAAACAATCCGATTGCATTTGTTCGAATGTTTTTGGCAACAAGAACATCACCTTGCCACTTATAATAGGCAGTAAAAGAAATGCCTCTGGAAACGTCATTCCAAGAAGCAATGTTGGCTAGGCATGAGGGGATGCAATGTGAAAGGTTGTTTTCTGAAAGATCCAAGATAGTCATTTGATTTGATTGACACAAATGCTCAGGGATTTTGCCTCGTAAATGGTTTTGTCTAAGAACAAGCACCATCAACATAGGAAGATGAGGAAGTTGAGTTGAAAGCTCTCCAGAGAGGTCATTTTTTGCAACGTTTAGAAAACGAAGAGAACACTTGAACAAGTTATCTGGGTTCCTCTTTGACAACATATTGCGGCGGAGATCCAACCACTTCAAGTTTGGCATGCTGGAGTTTTTGGGAAGTATTCCACCGTGCAATTTGTTAAGAGATAAATCCATGTATTGCAGTGAAGTCATGTTTCCTGTCACACCGATAAGAACCTCTCCATCTAATCCATTGCTTGATAGATCAAGAATACTCAGTCGCCTCATTCCATCAAGAGGAGGGATGCTGCCTTCAAAATAATTCAGGGAGGCATTGAATTTGTACAACTTTGGAATAATCCAATTGATATTGGAAGATATTGTCCCGTGGAATTTATTCTCCGAAATATCAAGCACGGCTAGGTTTGAGCTTGAGTTTCCAGAAAGCCAGGGGAGTGAGCCGCTGAAATTGTTGCCTCCCAGCCACAATTCAGAAGTGACATTATACAACATCCAAGAAGGAATGCTCCCAATAAGTGAATTATAGGACAAATCCAGGGACTCCAAAAGGTATTGTGTTGAAATAAAGCTGGGGATCTTATTGCCACTATGGCTGTTGAGGTTGCAACCACCCAAGTGAAGTCCATGAAGGTTGAAAGATGGGAGCCAAAACGGGGATTCAGTTTCAACCTCTAAATCATTGTACGAAAGATCGAGGAAATTAAGCTTTGAGAGATTGGCAAAGGATGACAATGAGATCCTGCCGCTGAAATCATTAAGGTTAGCAAAAAGGAACTCAATATTTGTCAAGTTGGAAAATAGCAATGAAGGAAAGGTTCCATTGAAAGAGTTAGCGGATATATCTAGCTTCTCGAGGGAATTCATATTACTAAAACAGGTATCCATGTCTCCATGGAGCTGATTATGAGACAGATCTAGGTCCGTAAAAGAGTTGATCTCGCACATGCATCTTGAAATCTGACCTTGTAAATTATTTCATGCCAGATTTAAGATGGACAATGACTGCATATTTCCCCAACAGAGATCAGACCCTTTTTCTATGGAGTTCCAATGGAGATACAACTTTTGAAGGTTCTTGAGTTTTTGAAGTGCTGCAATGTTGCAACAAAATGAATAAATAAATGAAATATGAAAATGGCTATATTGGGAGAAATAAATAGGCTCAAGAAATAACTGCGAGATCATTTTAAGGTTTTCTGTAATTAGGCGGTGATGTGTAATGATGGTGGGGGGAAGAGAATTGGGATGAAAGTCGAGTAAAAGTGGCAGTGGCGGTGGCAGCTACCCCTATAGCTGTGATATATGGTTTTCTCAAGTGAGCGAGTGCTTGTGTTTATTTTGGTATCCCTTATTTTCTCACTTTGTGTTATGTAGGATTCTCAAATCTGAAGTTTAATTTTTAGATTTCAGTTTCAATTAGAAGGTTGCACCACACGACACAAGTTTGCTAGAGTTGAAATTATACTTTTGGGTAAATGTCATTAATAGTTGCTGTAGCTTTTATCGAGTTTTAATTTGACTCTATCATTTTTTTTAGTCTTCTAATTTTTCAATTTGTATCAAATTAATCAAGTCATTAACTGTGGCTTTTATTTTTGGATAGAAAATGGTCATGTACAATGCACGTGACCAATTTTTAGGTGCAGTATGATTCATTCGCTACATTATTCCTCTAATCCAGCTCGTTGAATTGAGTTCATTAACTCTAGTTTACCTAATTGATGACTCAACTCACCTTCATCACCTACTTAATCCACCAACCACCTCTCTCCCAGCCCCAACCACCGAACTGCCTCTTCACACTACAACATATAAGAGTTTTAGAGATCAAAATTTTTGGTCTCGAAAAGTGAAAATTTTGTTGCAAAAGACTTTTAGGGACCAATTTCTATCGTCGTGAAGATAGTCGCTAAAAAGTCGTCTTGAAAAGTCAAAAATAAAACTTTTAGTGACAAAATTTTGAAAATGTCACTAATAAATAGATTTTTAGGGACAAAATAATTTAGTCTCAAAATTATTTATTTTTTGAGACAAAAAATTTGATCCTAAAAAGATAATAATTCATCACTAATGTCTAATTTTTATTACTAAAAATATAATAACGACACTTTTCGCAACAAAAATATTTGGTTTTAAAAAAATAATTTTGTCTCTAAATTTTAGTCTTTAAAATTTTAATTTTTATAGTGTATAGTAGTTATATTTGAATTTCTTGGGCCTATTTCATTTCTCGTGTTTTCGGAAACAAAAATAACAAAACGCTCAAGAACATCTATTGTTATATCGTTTTTTGTTCTAGTGCGAAAATAATTTTCAAATATGAAAAATGAGTTTTGGGTATTTGAAGCAGTTTTATTTAGGGGTGGGCGCGGGTCGGTTGCGGCCACGGAACCTCCAATCCGCCATCCGTCTGCCAGATTGGCGGATTGAAGAAAATCAATCCGCATCCGTCCGCCAATCCGGCGGATGTGGATTGAGCGGATTGGCGATTTGGCGGATGGATGCGAATCGGTTTGGCGGTTTAAAATTTTATAAATTTTCAACATAATTCAACTTGTGCACTTCCTCAAAAAAAATACAGATGAGAAACATTAATATGAATATGAATATGGCGATACAAAAAAACCAAAAAAAAATGGATATGGGTATGGTTAGGATATGTTCGTAAAAAAAAAATTATTTTTTTTTTTAAATTACTAGTAGTGAGCTACACATAAGCTCAAGAATGTTGAAAAACTATACTATAATTTTATATTGAATTTTTTTTTAATAATTAGGTATTAATTTAAGCTAGTAGCTAGCTTGCCTTTTAAACTTTCAATAGACCTTGCAAATATTTCATTTCAATATCAAGTCTAATATGTTTATAGAAAAATGCCTCATACACCCACTGGGGGTCGACCCCCAGTGAGGTGGCACTTCATTATTGGCCAAAAAAAAAACTGTTTTCCTTTTTCTTTTCTTTTTTTTTTAAGTTTCAACCAGTGGGGGCGCGACACCTCACTGGGGTGCGACCCCCACTGGGGGTATGCAGCACTGCTGTATGTTTATATTACAAAAACAGAACAATTTACAACTTGTCCCTATGCTTTTCAATTTTGCACTAGTTGAAAATGTTGTATGCAATGCAAGTTTACTTGCTTATTAATTTATTGGAA